CAGTTTTTCTTTTCTTTCTGTGCCTTTTATGAGAGCTTTAGGATGAGATGTGTACTTCCTTAAGCAGGCAGTGGTAATCGTTCTCATTTCCGTGGTAGTGGTTGTGGAAAAACACACTTGATATTTGCTCGTCTGGATAGGTTTTACTTCTGCAATTGCGCGGTTGTAGAAAGAGGTCGGTTGTTAAAACCACACGAAAAGACACGCTTTATTTCCACAGTTCTATTGATGATTACCTGAGAAATTCTGCAGAATTCAACATAATGCTGCTTTTAATATCATTTTTGTCACTACCTTTCCTTTTCCTCAATCTGACTCGGGATTACTGATAAGTGATGTTTATGAGTTGAAGTAAGTCTACAAATAACACAAATTAAGATAATATGTTGGCTTTATTTCCACAGTTCTATTGATGATTACCTGAGAAATTCTGCAGAATTCAACATAATGCTGCTTTTAATATCATTTTTGTCACTACCTTTCCTTTTCCTCAATCTGACTCGGGATTACTGATAAGTAATGTTTATGAGTTGAAGTAAGTCTGTAAATAACACAAATTAAGATAATATGTTGTTACGGAACAGAATGTTTGGTGCAGTACAGTATTAACTTCCAGCCGAAATTTTAAAATACGTGCAAACTGATAGAAATAAATATTTCGGGGGTTTGTTTTTGTAAGTTATTGTTTAATATGTATTGTTTGGGATTTGGGGGGGGGGTAGGCTTTTGTTCTTCACGAGTGCAATAATTGTTTTATAGAACTAGTTATGTGGTTATGTCTTGCTAAACGTCCACGCTGAGCGATGACTCAACATGAATAAGTTTGAAAAACTTACACTACTACATTGGCATATTTCATATTGAGCATACGTTAATTAACTTACCTTGGTTTTGTATATGGTTGACAAAGATTGTCGTAATAAAAATGATAAAGGAGTGAAAAACTACTCCTTTAGAAGATCGAAGTTTTGTTCCATATTTAGATGAATAAATTTGACAGTCATAAATAAGATATAGCTTACTGACTTTTTTTTTTTTCCTCATCTTTCATTTCCAACAGATCTAGGAGTAAAAGTACGATTGACATATAATTTTTTGTAACCCCCGATGACTTAGCGGTAAGTCTGAGGGCTTAAAACTTAAAATTCGGGTTTTTATACACGCAGTGAGCAGAGCACACATAAAGTCCATTGTGTAGCTTTGTGTTGAACAACAATCACGCCTTTTTGTTACGATGATCCATGGAAGAAAACGAGTGCGAGCGAAATCAAATGAAATCAGACTCATTCGTTTTTTCTTTTTTTTGGTGACCACATTGACCAGAAACTTCAACTTCAGAATGATAATATGTTTGATAGAGTCTCAAAACTTTATGGCGTTTAGGTTTACTCCTGATGTTCTTTATGTGTAGGTTTTCCCTGAACCATTTCTTGAAAACCATAACAGGTGTGTGAAGTTCCAAACGTCAGGTACTTGAATCATCTTAAATACCCCCCAAACACGTGCAGAGTTTTCCATTGTCTTAGATTCAAGACGCTTGAGGGAATGTTTGTTTGTTTGTTTGTTTCAGTCGTCAGGTGGCTGAAACATGTTAAGTATTTCCAAACACGTGCATAGTTTTCCATTGTCGCAAGGCTTTTTAGGCTTGGGAATTTGACATGTATTTCGTTTGTACATTAAGTATGTTATATTCTAAACACCCAAATAAAGTATGGTTGCTTATAGTTTTGTTAGAGGGCGTATTCGTTTGTAAATGCGAAATTATTTAAGTAAACAGAAATAAGATACATTATACAAGGACACACGCATGCAGGTATTTTGCGTGAAATTGCTTTATCTATTGATTCATTTGTAGTATAATATACAAATTGAAGTATGGATATTGAACCTGCGAAAAACAACACACACACGTTGTGGCACAAAAACAGCACACACATGTAGCACAAAAACGATTTCGAATGTATAGCGACCTTATAAGTCATAATCACGCTTTTGACACTTTTAGTAAAAGAATTCAACAATGAAAAGCCCGTAGTACATCATCCGCATAGTGCCTATCTAATGGTTCACTTGGATGGATTTATAACAGCTGGTAGCTTTTCTTTGAGATAAAATGGTTTTCATGCGGTTAATAGAAGAGCTATCACTGGATAATTAAGATTATGGTGGGTTCTAGTTCGCGAAACTTAGTAATTTATGTTATTCTTTTATGCTTAGAGTTCCGCGTGACGTTTTAAGCAGGGCATGTAACGGTTTGAAAGTAATTGCCCCCATTCTTACCCTTTTTTTTCGGCGTTAGCGTATCTACTGTATTAAATATTAATGGGTGAAAAATAAGAAGGGAAGAATTATTTTGTTGGATGAGAAGAAAATAATTATGTCGTTGGATGAGAATAGGGAGGGATTTTGCTGTTGCATAGTCATACGTAGTTGTCAATCACTTCATTCCCTTGATTTATGACTGGCCCACTTCATTTCACAAATGTTAAAATATTTACAAATACTAGCTGAGTGATGAGTCAAGCGTACAGAGATATAAATGATCATTAAATACACACATTGTTACAATGGTTTTATATTTATGTGTGTGTGTGTGTGGATTATATTATTTTCTCATGGTACTAACTTGTAAATGAAGTTTGTTTCATCCATTTAAAGTAATGTCATGTACTTCTTTATGAAGTTTAATGAATACCAAAAATGTCACATTACTTACAGGCATAATAAAATCATAGATGGAAGTTACAAAACATTCAAAACTTGATTAGTTCTTCAAAAGTTCCTTATACTACAGAGAGCTAGTTGCCAGAAGTCTGATAATACTATATTTCATATCACTTTTGGCTTTGTACAAATATAAAAAATACAAATATAAAGACATATAATGAAAGTATTGAACTAATGTTAGAAGTTGGTTTAAGTTATTGTTAGTTAATTTTACAAAAAAAAAAAAACAATGGGTTGCATCATAACTGCCACGACACCTCATGCTTTAAAATGGACTTATTTACCTGCTCTAACATCTTTGTTTTCTAGTAACTTAAGGGCACTCAAGCAACCCATTTCATTCAAAAGAGAGAGAGAGAGAGAGTAAACATGGAAATTCTGACGTCTTTGTCACATGTAGTTTGTTACATTCGTGATAATTTCAAGCATAACTTCAAAAATATATGCTCATAAACTAAGGTTGTACAAGAACCCTTCTCTCCCCCTGCATTGAAACACTTCATGATTTAATAAAAATAGCTTCAAAAATATGTGCTTATAAATTAAGGTAGTACGAGAACCCTTCTCTCCTTTGCATTGAAACACTTCAGGATTTAATAAAAATAACGAAAAAAAAATATATGCTTATAAACTAAGGTTGTATGAGAACCCTTCTCTCCCCCACATTGAAACACTCCATGATTTAATAAAAATAGTTTCAAAAATATGTGCATATAAACTAAGTTTGTACGAGAACCCTTCTCCCCCCCCCCACCATTGAAACACTCCATGATTTAATAAAAATAGTGCTACAAGATTAAAAATGTTATGTTCATGATGATAAATCTCCTTTTTTCTTTTATTGGATTTGAACAATTTCTAACCCTTCTCTGGCCAAAGTTGCTTACACGCTTTAGTTACCGGACGTGTAATAACACCACTGATTTTAGTAACAACAGTCCTTTTTACAACAGCACTTCTTAGTTACGTAATAATTCAGTGACAAAGCGTAAAATTCCGGAAAAGTATGGACAAGAAAATCATTAGTGTAACCTCGTTGCTCTCCTTCTCGTGAACAGTTAATTACTGTATATCACTTCAATAAACAATGTATTTACATTCCTCAAATGATATTCAGTTTAAAAAGTATCATTTGTAACATCTAACAGTTTGTGTCCCTGTGGGAGTTACAGCCCCACATCATCACTAGCAATTTTCTTTCTGAAAACTGTTTGTATTCCTGAGGAATTTCAGACCTGGTGGTTTTGTTTCTGAGAGCAACATGTTCCAATGTAGGAGCTTGCCCCACATTTTAACTAGTGATTTTGGCCTCTTTATTGACATTATTAAGTGATAATTTTTTTTTGAGTGGAAAACGTTTGTTTCAAAGGAAGTTTGTATTTAGTTGTTGTCTTGTTTTGTTTATAAATATTATAATATTGATATGATAACAAAGAATAGCTTTGAAATAAGTTTTAATCACTAATTGATAGTGTTATACACAAATACTACTTGCAGGGCATCAACTGGTGACTTATTTTGCCTCACCAGTGCTTATAGTTTAGAAAGATACAAGACATCTAGAGCTCGTGGTCCCAGATTCACAAGTTTGTCATGGAAAAAAAAACTGTTTTCCAGTTGGTCATTTGAATGAACATCTGATCACTGATTGCAGTTGCCATTTGGACTGTCAATTCACTATTGAAAATCTTTCCACTCTTTACAAACTGTAAATTATATACCAGTTCACAGAATTTCTTACAAATTGCAGTTACAATCAAGGCTACATAATGAATAAGAATTATCGTGAAGTTTGCCTCACCAGTTAAAATTTCTTAAAAGTACTCTCTCTTCCTGTCATTGCTAACTTGGACATATAGAACTTTTAATAGATGCAACCATCAAATGGTATAATTAGTGACAAGTTATTAAGAAATAAACCATCCCAGTATGTGTACAGTGTTCTAGATTTATTAACTAAAGCATGTATAGACAAATGTGTTCATTATAATGATTGTCCAGATGTGTTGCAAGAAATGATTGCAAGCTTTTAAAATGATTATATTGGTTTGTAAGAATAATTAAATTAATATTATACCATATTGTTATCATCTGTTGTCAATTGATTGGTGAAAGATGAGATATCAGGTGCAAAGTGGGATATCTGTTGTATTATTCATTAAAGTTCAAGTGTACGAGTTATTTTGTGATCTGCCTACACTATATTAGAAAATGGCTCAAGTTCAAATGAATTTTGAACTTTTTAGTTTCTATACATTAATTTTCATTTCCAGGTCAGCTAGCAGTGAAATTCTTTACCCACCGTCCCCATTGGAAGCCATGTCATCTAGTTCAGAAAACAGTTCAAGTGATTCTGATAACAGCAGCTCTGGCTCAGACTCTGAGGAAAGCAATGTGAGCGGAAGGGTTTCTCCAGAATCACCAGAAAAGGTATCAACTTCAGGTTGTGTTACTTGTCAGTGCTTAGCTTATATTTTCATTAACATCTGTTCTTGAGTTTAACTTGTGGGACTTAACCAAGTTCTGTAATATAGTATTGTTATACATTGGAGGTACAACAGTGAAGGTGACTGCTATCTTCAGATATTCTAACTTGTATAATTATTAGTTTATTATATTTGCTAGTAAAGGATTCTATCATCTTCACCTTGTGTAACCTGTCAGTGTTTATTATTATTACTTTATGATATTTGTCAGCAAGAGAAAGTATTTTCAGTTTGTGAGAATTCTCAATAAAAGTTAATGTTAGTTTTTGCTTTCTAACCCTGCCAGTCTCCTCTTCAGTTTGTGAACATAGAAAGTATGCTGATAAGAACTACCACTGTAGTTTTATAAAACTAACTTGTAATGAAAAGTTTTATTTGAGATTCATTTGTGAACTTTAACATTTAAGCTTGTGAAACTTGACAGTAAACACTGTAAACACACACACACACACATATTGATATCGATATATTGATGTAATATTACTTAAGACATCGCTAACACTTCCTACTGATCAACCTGGTTGTCTATATATCAATCTCAACAAATCCAGAATGACCAGTAGGAGATGTCAGTGATGTCTTCAGTAAATAATATTATGTTACTACACACATATGTATAATTGATATCTATACAAATCTAGACTGACTAGTAGGAAGTGTCAGTGATGTCTTCAGTAAATAACATTATGTCACTACACACACATGTATAATTGATATCTATACAAATCTAAACTGACTAGTAGGAAGTGTCAGTGATGTCTTCAATAACTAATATAATGTCAGTACACACATATGTGTAATTGATATCTATACACATCTAGACTGACTAGTAGAAAGTGTCAGTGATGTCTTCAGTAAATAACATTGTCACTACACACATATGTATAATTGATATCTATACAAATCTAGACTGACTAGTAGGAAGTGTCAGTGATGTCGTTAGCACTAGGAAAAAGCAATATGATTTTTAAAATGTAAATACTATATTGATGTTTCATAACAGGAGCTTTAGGGAATTTATCTACAAATTAATTGACTGTGAGGAGTGATAACATAGGACTGGGGACAAAATAATTGTTGGATACTTGTTTGTGTTATGTTTTTCAAAGATATTTCAACCTGCTCCTTAGATATTGAATCAAAATTCCCCAGTTTTACCTAAACACCCTTTCTTTCAAATATATGGTCTGCTGCCCTTCAATAAAGTTATTTAACATTCAAGTTCATTATTTTGTAAAATTTTGTTTTTAGCTAGTTAGAAATGTACATAGATTCTGTTTTAATAACATTCTGTTTGTTGTTGTAATATACTGCAAGCAAGAATTTTCAAGAACTTATCAGGCAAAATGGAGTATAAGACTCAAAGCATTGATTAAAATGCTTTGTAAAACAGTCATGAGATATTAATTTAAAGCAACATAAGGCCTAGACTGGTAATATATGTGATCTGTGATAAATTGTCACAATGAAAAACTGCTACAGATTTTAATTCTGTTGTTTTAACTGGCTTGGATGAGAAGGGGGGATAGTAAGCAAATTGCATCATTAGCATTTCTATTTTGATAATTATATTGAAGGTGACAGACAGTGGTATGGTAAAGACTGGAATATGAAAAATTTTATCAGTTTCTTAATATTATGTTTCACTAAGATTAAAATATTCGTAAAATTTCATAAGTTGTAAAAGTTTCAAGGAGACTGGATTTTTTTTTATGAGCATCAAAGATTTTGAGTAAAATTGATTTTTTATATTTTAATATAGTTTTAAAGATAATGAACATTTCATTTACATTGAATCAAAAGAAATTACAACAGACCTTAGTTTTTTAAAGCAGGACCTATTTCTGTGACACCTTTCACTGACTTTTAGGTAATTTTGACGAATGATATCTGAACTTGTGTTCTGATAAACTCCCATTTCACTCAGTTTAGATTAAGGAATTATTCAGTAGCTTGCTCAACTCTTAAGTAATTCTGTAAATACATACAGTTTTAGCACTACAATTTCATTGTAATTTTCAAAATTGTCAATAATCTAGTTGTCTGTGAGACCAAGTTTGCCTAATAAAGTGAGTTTACATGGTGTCTTTTTTAACACTATTTTATCAGACTTAACATGAATGAAATAATTTTATCAAACTTAGGACTAAAGTTTTTATTTTGGGTCAAATAGATTAATTGAATATCTTTCAAAAATACAAATATTTAATAGCATGGAGGCATAAATACTCAATGTACAGTATTGCTTTGGGGGTTATTTTAGAGCATTTAATGTGTGTACAGTTCAGGAATTAAAATTTACACAAACAAATTGAAACACAGTTTTACTTGACTTGACTTTGTTTTGGATAATTTATGTCTAAGTTAAAGAAAATACATAATCTTTCTTGTCTGATGCTTTCAAAAGCTTGTTTTCCCTTGTTTTAAAAACATTTAAAACTTATTACAAATTTATCAAGTTGACATTTAAAGCTTCTATATTGGTATAGTTTTTAATAATGCACTTACCGTTGACCTACTTTATTGAAAACAAAAAGTAGCTGCCACATTTCAGTTAACTTTTTCTCTCGTCTTTCATTTGTAAGAAATATATTATTGCACATTGGAAAGACGATCACATTTTGACCTGCTTGAAAGTGTAGTTTTGCCTGAGTATCAAATTGCATCAACCCAACCATATTTTGCATGTTGGAAATATGATCATATGTTGACTACGTTAAGAATTCAGTTTTGCCTCTCAGTATTAGATTGCATCAACCCAGCTATATTTTCTTTCCTGGGGGAAGAGAGGATATGCTTCTATAATAATGACTTTTCAATTGTCCTTCAAGTAGTTACTGTAAGTTCTACAGTCTTGATTAAAAAAGGATATTATTAATGAGCAGTAAGCCAGAATAATCCCAAACTTTTGTGCCATCAATTCTGCCAGGTTACTGGTGCTTGGAATTACTCACTAGCTGCATATCACAACTGTTGATGGTAAGGGGTTTGTTGCATAACACAGGGTAGCATATTTATTAGTACTCATGCTTTTGCTAATACATGTTCTGAACTGCAAACCCCACTTTACCCTTTTCTGTTCACTACAATTTTGTTACCTGATGCAGTTACAGTAAATAAGTGCAGGTTTCATCAAAATTTTCATTCCTATCATGGGTTACTGTATGTTCTGAAATTATAGTCTGTTTTAACAGAACTAGTGAACTTGTAGTTTTTGTTTTGGGAATTCACACCTTTGTGTAAACTGCATTCTATTTCTCCAACAGCCTAAATTTTGTATGTATAGCAGGGTCTTTTATTTGAGTGATTTTTATTCTTTAAATGAGATAAAGTCTAAGTCTTATTAGGTCAAAATGAAGGGTTCTGTGATTTCTACATTAGATCTAAGCAAATAATTTTGGTAACTTTTTATTTTATCTCTAATATCTGTAGTTTAGTACTCAAAGCTGGGGACTTGCCAACTTTGTGGAAAAGAAAAGCACACCTGCTTTAGCACCACTAAAAGAGTTTAATTCGATCAATCATGAAGAGCAACACCTCATACTGAACAACAGCCAGAACATCACCATGGACTTAGCTGATGAAGATTCTGTCAACTGTATTCTTGGAAAATTCTCCAACAATGATATCAAGGATTATTTACAGAGGTGAGTTGTTGTAGAATGAGCCTTTTATGGAAGAAATAATTCTGTCTTTTATTCAGTATTAGACAAATGATAGACGTGCATCACTAAGAAAGATTAAAATGAAAAAAAAGCATGTATGATAGAGTCATAAAGAAATGGAAAAAAGAAACATGTAGATAAGGCCCTGAAAAGTTTAATTTGTGATTATACTAAAGCATGGTGGTAAAAGTTAGTGAGTTACAAGATGGATAGAATGGATAGGGCTTGTAGATTATGTTGTACCCTATTCTTCGTGAGAAACTGTAATACAGAGATGCTGGGATGTGGAAAAATTGGTCTTATGACGATGAATTTCACTTGTAGGTGATCTTGTTTTAAAACTTTGTATGTATAGTGTTGTAAGCATTGCAGTGAAAACCAGTATTACTGCTCTGCTGTTCCACTTTCTTTAAATATTCTAGTTTCACTTTATTTTGATGGATAAATTGAGTGGGCACTAATGACAGTTTTGATGTGTGTGTCATACTGGAGTGTGTTATTCAGTGCTTATGAATGTGCTGTTGAGAATATAACCTGAGGATGGTATTTTGAATATTCATATTATGTGTATAAGTTTGATAAACTGTACTTTATTTTTGTTCAATAATGCATAATTACCAAAAAATTAAGAATTTTTTAATTGGTTGAGAGTGTGTGTGTATGTGTGTTGTCTTCTTTTGGCCTACTTTCATCACTAAGCAGCTGTAAAGTCTGTAATTAAGGGAACTTATGCTGGTAGTTCTCATCTACCACAAGGTTGATAGGATAACAGCTAACTGCACAATGCTTAATTGAAAATCATACAGGAAAAGTAATCTCAAGATTTAATCAGATCTTTAAGGTTTTTATAAGTTTTCAGTGGAAGCTCCAGACTGCTTGTAGTGCATTTTGTTGTAGTCATATTTTTTAAAATAAGCCTAGAGTTTAGTAGTATAAGAAATTAAGTGGTTGGATCTTTTACATATTTTTATCTTAAATATTTATTAGTATAGTACTCGAAGCTGGGAGCTTGATAACTTTATGGAAAATCATACCTGTGTGGCAGTTCAATGCCTAATATGTTTGTGAACTAAAATCTTTGGAGTCAAAAAGTTAGCATTATATAGGATAGTTTTGTTATCTTTAAAAAAGATTTAAATTACAAATTAGCAGTTTTCAGTCACAAATAATGTTGGTATAAGTAATTCTTGCTTGTTATAACTTATTTAGGAAAAGAAAATCACTGACTTTATGTCTGAAGAAAAACTTCTTCTTATTACTGTAATAAAACTTCTGAGAAAAATATTTGTTTTAACCACTTAAGAAATAATCACTATTTGCCATAACCAATACACATAAGAAGTTTGAAGAGGAAAAATTATACAAGTTATGTACATCAAAATTGTTACATTGTTATTAAGTTGAGGTTAGCAGTTAGCTAGTTCCAGTTGGTCAGTAAAGTATTTATTGAAAAGTTATTGAGTAGTGATTGGAATTTATTGAAGTATTCAGGGTGTGAAAGATTTTGTAGTTGTTGGTCAAGACAAAATTGATTGAGTAAAGTTAATTGTTATCAATGTGTTAAATCTGTTTGAAAGTGGAAATGTTATATTTGAAATTAGGCCTACAACTATGTACAAGGGATAGTAGCTTGTAGCAAGCATTAAAGATAAAATAAATTAATTTGTTATCAATACATGGACTGGGCTTTGTATTATTTTCAGAAATTAACTTATAAGAACCTGATCAATGAAGAAATGCATTATAGGCACTATATTACAACAGTGTTAAACATGTTTTAATAGTTGTATGAGCCATGTTATTTTGATGAACTAGTTGTTATGTACATTCATTTTCATTTCTTATGCGTAACAGACTAAAGTGTATATAAAACAAAAAATTCTAGAGGCATAACATTTGCAATTTATATATTAAACTTGGTTATTTTGAAACAAAAATAAAAACTTTTTTCTTCTTCTGAACCCATTCCAAGTAATAACCAAGTGAACTTTATTATTCATTTTTTGTTAACCATTTTTTGTTATTATTCATTTTTAATAATAGAGTTAACTTATTCAAAATGAAAAAGATAGACTTAGAAACCTTTGAATTATATTACCTTTATGTCAGCATTATTATGTGGTGATGATATCATTGGTGTTATCATGTTTGGAAAATTAACTGGGCTCTGTGCTCTATCATCTTACATCTTGGTAATACTTCTGTAAAGAAATTTTTCCTCTTTCAGGAGGCATGTCACAGGTAACTAAAAAAAAAAAATCCAAGTTGTCTTGAGGAATACATCCAAGTTTGAACATGTGTATTATTTAAATCCTGTTTATCAAACACATATATATTTTGTTTATGATCACTTACTAAACGCAAGTATTAGTCATCATTCATAAGTACTAAAATGTTCACTGCTAGGAGGAGAGGATTTCAAAGGTTAGCTCTAATGTGTATAATCTGGTAGGTAGTCCTATCAATTTTACAAGGAATAGCAGTTTGTGAGACCGTGAAAGTACATTAGATACCAGGAATTCTTACAAGATCATTACATTTATCTTCAGGATTGTATTAATGGTATCAGATATGATGTTTAAAGCTGAGAATAAATAAAATTATAAGTATAAACTTAAACGCTAGAATATTTTTTTAATTTCATCTTAAATATATGTGTTATTCTTCATTAAGATGAATCAAGCATTATTGGTCTTATAAATATAGCTTACTATTAAGCAGTATTTAATAGATATTGTTTTTACATTTTCTTCTTTTTTTTTTTTCAGTCCAAGTCCTCATTTGATGGATTTTGATTCTGGGGCCTTGCCTTTAAGTCATGAGGTCCAGGCTTTGCTCTCCCCTGTTCCATCATCTCCTATACCAAGACAAGAAGAACAGGTAGAATCTGAAGATGAATTGTGGGGTAGGCATCTGATTGACAGAGAGGATCAAAAGAGTAGAGGACAAGATCAAAAGAGCTTTGATCAAGATCTCGCATGGTCAGAAGATGATGAAGAGGACAGAGAGATTAGAAATTATTTTCCTGAGCAGCTGCAGAATGTTAAAATAAAGATAAATTTAGGGAATAAAGAGAAGAAACAGGATGCAGCAGAGCTTAAGGAAAATACAAAGAAAGTGTATGATCAGTATTGTGCCAGCATTTATTCTACACCTGAGGTGTCTAGCTCAACTGCCCTGAAGGCTGATTGTACAACAGTGACTGTGTCTAAATGCATACAATCCAGCAAATCTTCTGTTTATGTCTCATCATGTCACAGATCTGATGGGAATAAGAGCTCAAATAATGTTGAATCTCATTCACTTTTAGTAAATTCTGGTCAGGAAAAAGTGAGAAAAAAAAGTGATAACAGAAAGCCCGTAAAAAGCAACGAAACTTTAAAGAAACATATTTCTTATGGTCATAGCAGTAAAAGTGGTTCTAAAAAAGAAGAAAAGGTCCGTAAGACTTCTGAGGATAGAAAGAGTTCAAATGATCATTTGGTCGTAAAACCAGAAAGTGCTCACTTAGAAAAGAAACCTTGTGACAGTCATAAAGCAGAAAAGTTTGAGAAAAAGACTGCCTCAAAAATCAAATCTAAACCAATTGTGTCTGACACTTCTAGTTCCGAGGAAAGTGAATTAGATACATTCCAAGGTAGTTTACCAAGAGTAAGAAAGAATGTCAAGAAAACAAGTCATACTTTGTCCTCCAAAACATCTTCCACTGAATCTCTTAGCATGTCCAGTAAATGTCCAGAAAAGGTCAGATCTAAAGATAGTCCAATTTTTCCTAAAAAATGTTCAAGTTCCTCTCATATAACTGATGTGATCAATAGAGTCGCCAGAGGAGATTCATCATGCAGGAATATCTGTTTGGACAGCGAGAGGCATTTACCACCCAGTTGGACTGATCGTGTGCCAACTAGCCTTACAAAGTTTAATGATGATACTCCTGTCAAAATGGATCCACCCAAACTTCTGTCACCTATACGTAATGGGAGCACACCTAAGGCTCATAAAGAGCTCAAAGAAAATGCCATTCCTTGTGTTTTTGTAAGTATAGACCTAGCCCTTATCAACAGAGTGCCTGATTATCCTCCAATAGACAGAACTAAATCTCTTGAACAACCAGGTAAAGTTAAATCACAAGATCCTATCAGACCTTCTCCAAGGGAACATTTGAAAGAAATTAAACAGGATTCTAACAGGACTTCTATTTTTTCAAACCCAGTTTCAGAAAGTGTATCACCAGTGAAGAAAAAGAAGAAAAAAAGCTTGCAACTTGCAAGTAAACCACACAAACGAAGGGCTGAAGAAAATAAGGTAGAAAATGGAAAAAAACACAAAATGTCTGCTTCAACAACTGTTGAGTTCCCAGAACCACAAGCTACAGGGTATGTAATTTTATACCTCTAAGAATTTTATGTAATTCTTATTTTGACTGTTAAATTATTCATTAAAAATCTAATTTAGAGCTTTACAAATTTGGTGATCAGTATATTATTCAAAATTAATCTGTTAAAGCATCTCTTTTATTCATTAGAAATTAATGAAAGTTAATTTTTGTCATTAAAAGTTAATTTGTAACTTATATTTTCTTCAGTTTATATTTTGTTTGTTTAAGATTTTTGCTTTGAAAATGTTACATTTTTTAACCTGTCAGTGTCAGAAGGTTTGTTTGAACCTGTTTTATTCTTAACTAAATTGTTTTGTTCTCTGGAAAGGTTTAGAGTTGTAGTTGTTAGTAAGTATTATATTTGGAAGATGTTGAATTATTGCATTTTACCTACAAGGAGATAATTTAAAATGAGATCATGAAATAATGTTTTGACAAATATAAGTCCAGATCTTAACATAAAAATGTAATTTAATTGCTTTATTCATACACCTGTACAGAAAAACTTAAAAGCGTAATGGGAATTATACTTAAACTTCACTTTTAACTAATTTTGAACTAAAGTGAATTCAAAGATATTGATTGCAAATTTTTTTCTTATTTTTAAGTTAGGATAAGATATGAAAGTCCTCACACTCCAGCTGAAATTCTAAATGTTATTTGAAATTCAAGAACTTAAGTTATATAACAAGATTCCGACATTCATAGTGAAGTGGTAAATTGTTCACTGTACATCCATAAATCACAGTGATGTTCTGAAGTTTAAATTACTAAACAGTACTCTTGCTAAAGAGATGACTGAGAAGATGTGAAGGGAGAAGAAATGCTGCTAGAAAATTATGGCAGTTAGAAACAATGTTCTATATACTTATATATTTACATCTAATATGACACAAAAACAGCAGCTCATAGTAATACAAGATACAATAACTGTTTTTTTCTAAGCATGAGTTTTAAGCTTATATAGGCATAAAGTAATTATATTTGGCTTAATTTGGTCATAAGTGAAATAACAAAAGTGTGATATTATTGAAAAGATTGATTTAAGAAATAGTAATTTACGATCACCCAAGCAGATCATTTTCTGACATCACCCGAGGAGTTCCGAGCTATATCAGAAAAAAATAATGGAATGTTACTATATTACTCTTTTTAACTGTATTTTAAGGCTTGGTTGAGTAATACTTATGCCCATCTTAAAGTGAAATTATATAAACAGTCCTACACTAACCATCCATATTTTTGAAGTGATAGCCTAAATTAAAGGGAGCTGGTCAACATTACCCACTGCCAACTCTTGAGCTACTCTTGTAAGACTGAAAAGTGGAATTTGACCATAACTCTTTAATACACCAACAGCTCCAAAGTGCTGAGAGCAATATTTTTTTTCCATTAATGCAGCCTTAGGTTCGCAGTCCAGCACGCTAAAGACTGGACACAAAAATAAAAAAAAAGGAGGGAGGGTGTCTTTTATAATAAGTGTATCTTTTATAATAAGTCTACTACTTTACTTGTACAAAATCTAACAAATAAACAAACTTTTTTTTTCTTCTCTCTCTCTGAAAAAGTAGTCTGATGAAGTGATTACCTAGCATAACTGTTTAATTACTGGGTTATTAATGCTAGTATTTTCTTCACCTGTCAAACCTATGAAGTTTTGGGGAAACTGATTAGAAAATGTTTCAAATGTTGATGCAAAATATTCAAAGCTGGTGGAATGACATGCTTTGTACAGGTGGCTGAGTGGTTAGCATGCTCAGATAGTGAATCAAAGGATCTTGATTCATGGACTGTTTTCACAAGATCATGCTCCACATTTTGGGGTCGTGGGTATGCTGTAAGAGTGATGGTCAAATCTCACTATAATATTAGAGTAACCCAAGAGTTGATTCTTGTTGTCAACTAGGTACTCTACCTCTGTCTCTTAAGTCTTTCAGCTTAACATTAGGAACAGCTAGCAGATATTGCTGTTGAGTAGAATGGTGCAAATTTTCAAAACAAACCAAATCTACATGTTTCTTATGTTGTTCAAGCAATTAATGATATAAATAGCATTTGGATCACTAATATATCTGTTGTATCCCAGTCAGCTTGAGGAACACTGGTATTAGACGAAAGGCCTTATTGACAATGGATATAGTCAGTATAGCATGTGGTTGATATAATACATTCTTCCATTACATTCACTCAAGTTTTTATAACAACTTGGTATGTGCACATTAGTACTGGTTAGCTACATCACTCTTGTGTATTGTCATATAGTCATCCAGTTCTGTATTACTATCATTACAACTAGTGTATTCAGTGTAGAAGTAAACAAGGAAGTAAAAGTAACTTACGTCTTTGAATCATATAAACATAACAAAAATCCATTCCGAGAAGAATTGCAAATGGTTTGATGAATTTCAACTGACTTGTAATAATGCATTTATTTTATCTTGTTTTATTCTGATTTGGAAACAATGAGGATCGTCAGTTGTAACTGCACCACAACACTTGTATTTCGATTTCATAATAATATAAAATATATGACAAAATTTAATTTCCTTCTTAAAATTAAAATCATATTACAGTTAAGAATATGGTGGAAACATGATATACCAATCTAAATTATTCTTTTTTATTTCGTTATGTTTCAGTAATTCACCAGATACTTTTTAGTCAGTACTACACTTTACATAACTTTTAACACCAGAAACACCTTCTTATATTGAAAAATTACAAAGCACTAATGCTGAAAACCTCTTAATTGAATAAAGGAATATAGAAATACACATATTTAAACCAAATTAACTTTTCAAAGTAAATTATGATTGATTTCTAACAGCCGATTCAGTCTATTTAATAGTATTATCACACAAAGAAAATATTGTAGCTGAAATTTGTGTATTTTTTATTGTAATGGAATATGAAGTATTTTTTGTTTATTTAACAATTTTAACAAATTTATGAGAACAAGTATCGTATAACTAGTCATTCACATACATATCATGCATTGCATTATCATCACTGAACTCATGTTTCTTTATCATTAAGTAGTCGTAATGTAAACTGGAAAATAGTTGGCCTTTAAAATTGTTCATAAATATGACTAATTGCCATATAAAATGTTTTTTTTTCACAATGTTTTCCTATAGCAGCTGTATGAAGGAATTCACAACATTGCATGTAAAATAGCCATAACTGTTTAGCTAATTACTGTAATATTTATGTAAATATTATAATAATACCTAAAAAATAATAGAGAAGATTTACTTATGAAAAAACAAACTTAATTTCCACAAAGCTTAATATCTACACCCTTCATAACATGTCTGAAAGGGTCTATACCAGAAGCATTGTTGAGATTAAATTGTTTTTCTAATGAATTTTGCCCGCCAGGTCTGACAGTGGTAAGTCTACTGACTTACAACATTACAATTCAAGGTTCAATTCCCTACTGTAGACACAGCAGGTAGCCCAATGTGACTTTGCCCTAAAATAAACAAGTGAATTTTGTTCACCATTACTGTTATTCTCCATTAAGGGATTAATTTTGTACATTATTTTGACTACTTACACAACATTTCTCTCTCTTTGTTTTTATTATTTACATCACTAGTTTTTGCATCCAGTCACACTTTTTATTAAAAAGAAAGCTACATTTGTTTTAATTTAGTTATTAAAAAACTACATCATCTTAGTTTAGCCAATGACAAGAAGATTAAATTGGATGATAAATAATGAAGCTTACAAGATAATTAAAATTTTTTTGATTTAAAAAAGGGGGAATAGGGATCGTCAAAAAGTACAGAAACAAGTTAGATCAAAATGCAAAGATTATATTTTCAAGCCTACAACTAGGGACTCTAAAAACAGTAAACAAACATGTTTACAGTACTTATCCAGTTTAATGGAGTCAAAGTAAGGATTTTTAGCTTGAGAAAATAATGTAGACAATATTTCTAGTCTAGTTTGTTTAATTTTTTAGAGTACCTAGTTGTAGGCTTGAAAATATGATCTTTGCATTTTGATTCAACTTGTTTCTGTACTTTTTTTGATGATCCCTATTTCCCTTTTTAAATTAATAATTTTCAATTATTATATCTTGTTTCTCAAGTTTTTTTTATGTCCATGTATGGAGAATAGATTTTAAGATACATGTACATGCATTCAGTTGAGTGTTTTCAATAGGTTGCTGCTGCATTGGCTTTTTTCCACCCAATCATTAGTTACTTTGCCAGGTGGTTTTGTGCCAAAGGTTTTATGTAAACACATGTTTAACAAGGGAAGTGCAAAAATCAGTAGATTAAATCACCACTCACAAGAGTAGAGAAATCTACAATGGTAATCGTCTACTGTTAGAAAACTCACTGAAATAGCCACAGAAATCACATAGAGACAAAGTACATCAGCAAACTTGTGAAACAATAAAAACAGTGAACTCCAGAAATGATGAATCCTCAATGTAGTTTTTTCCAATTAGTGCACTATAAGTTGCACAAATTATTTTCCAATTAATGCACATTAGTAAACAACAGATTTTTTTCAATGGCAGAAAGTGAAGGACTTGGAGAAATTCTTTAAGGTGGAAAAAACAAAGGCACTTGAATTAATGTTAAAACTACCCTATGACAAACCCAACACTGCATTCATTATCATTCTCTAGGTTTCAGTAGTTGTTGTTTCTGTGGCAGCTTGTAAAACTATAATCAATCATAATATGGCTTGGGACACTTATAAATATACACATTGTTTACTTGAAAGAACAAAGTATTTCCAACTAATATAAAATGGAGCATTTCCGATTAGTATAATGGTGCTTAAATGGCTTCGACATTCCTATGATACTTGAATGGCTTCAAAGAGCTTATGTTGGTAGCTAGGAAGAACATAGAAAATTTTAGAGGGTGAAAATCTTGACTTTTAAGAACCAACTTAAAAATAGCCCTACAACCTTCACAGGAGTTTGTGTAGTAGCTGTGCATACATTTTGGCAAGTATATCTATCCACTTTTGCTGTAGGCTTCAGTGCTTGAATGACTTTGAAGAGAAACTTGGCCAATAGTGATGAAAAAACTGATAAAATCTTTCCTCCTTTTTCAAGAATCAACATAAAAATAGTCCTATGATCTGCACAGGAGTTATTTTGTAGGTTTGCCCATGTTTGAATAAAAATTCATAGCCAATTTTTTTTCTGTAGGCTTGTGAAACAAGAAAAATATAAATAATAATAATAATATTAAGAACAAGTGGATGAATTTTGAACAATTGGGAAATCAACTTCTCTGCTATTATCAATATTTTAGCAGCCTTAGCCATTGAGATAGATGGTCTTGAGTGTTGTTTCAAGAACAAGTCTGCTTTTTAAGATGGTTTTTACCTGTATGTTCTCTTAGAATTTTTGTGAAATTCCTGATTTACTAATTTGTAGTACAATAAAGATGACAATGTGTTTCAGAAGTATATTCATGCTCATGTCTATATACATATATAAGAAACTTGATTTTATGAAACTGATGCCATTAATGTTGTCATATATTTTGGATAGTTTTTTTTTCACCCCTTTGGATTTTTGATCTCGTTTCAACTCGTCGTCAGAAGCCAGCTCTTATACATCCAGATTGTTGTCGTGAAGAGTTAACATTCAGCTAATACTTATTACTAAATAAATACACAAGTAACAGAATGAAAACATAGGCCTGGTAATTTATCTAAGTAATCTGACTATTTGTCCTATTTCCCATTGGTATGTCCTTGAAAATTTAAGAATTTATCTGGGATGCATAATTTCCTTGTTTTTTCATATATAGGCAGTTAAGTGTCAATTTTTTGTGTTTCAAAGATATTCTCAATATATACACACACACACGTTAAAATCACTCCCAGCTTTGAGGTACTGCTCTATAACTAATTTTCTGTCATCTTCTTTCCTGATTTTACCATGGCTCGGGCACTTGACTCACAATCTGCAGGTTAGAATCCCCATCATTGAACATGCTTGCCCTTTCAATTGTGGGGCATCATAATGTAACAGTCAATATCTCTAATTGTTGGTAAAAGAGTAGCCCAAGAGTTGATGGTGGGTGGTGTTGACTAACTGTCTTCCCTTTATCTTATCACTGCTAAATTAGGGACAGCTAGCACAAATAGTACTTAGGTAGCTTTGCACAAAATTCAAACCAAACTGACTTTATCCCATTGTAGAGTTTAGTGAAACAAGCAGTTATTTGACTGTAATTTACCTGAATGTATAGGAGTATAATACACACATAAAATATAAGTAAAAGCACTATCTTGATAGGCATGACATGGCTTGGTGGTTAGGGTGCTTGACTCACAATCTGTGGATCATGGGATCAAAACCTGGCCTAAACATGCTTTCTCTTTCAGCCATGAGAGTGTTATAATGTGATGATCAATCTCACTATTTATTGCTGAAGAGTTGGAAGTGGGTGATGATAACCATTTGCCTTTCCTATGGTTGACAGTTGAAAATTAGGGATGGTAGCAGACAGCTTCAGTAGCTTGCCATAAACAAACAAACCATCTTCACAGTGAATTATTTGATATAATGTGGCTCAAAATAAGTATAAACTTTTCCCTCAATGTCTTTTCTAGTTGAAGTGGAGGAAATTCAAGTAATGTTTTTTATTGGGCCTTATGTGCTGACAATATATTTTTAAAAAATATTGCACCAAAATACCTTGTAACAATACTTTCTGTGGATTTGTCTCCTTTAAAACATCGATATGTTATTTTATTGACAGTTCCATACAGGGTTTGTTCAGATTAGATACAGATAGACAGCTAGATATTGTGGCATGTTACACATTTGAATATGCATAATTGTTGGAATAATTTCTGTCTTAATTTGTTGTGTTTAAAAAGGCAGTTATGCATAATCATTTTAATTCAACATACGTTATTTAATAAGCTGACATTAATCTTTTATGTAGTTAATTGAGATGTAGTTCTAGATATGCATACTTCTCTAACTTTGGCTTGACAAAACACAAAGTAATTGTCATGGAAAGTAGAAGGTCTGAATAATTTTCACAAGTTGTGTCTGAAATACCATGCAAATTAGAACAATCCACACGTAGATATTTACACAACTATTTGTGTAAAAGATAAAAACAACAACATGAAATAAGACACAAATGAGTTGACTGGTTAATAAGTGTAAAAATGTTTACTCATCAGAATTTTTAACTGCCAGAAACCCAGTTACATTCATTTGCACAAAAATTTAAATAAGTCCTTGATTTTCATGTTCTATAAAAATTTTTGACCATAACTACATATATTTTATAGCAGGGCCTTATTTTAAGAAATTTTACCAGACTACACAGTGATGGGTCACTGGAGGCCATTTAGCTATTCCACCTATTTCTGTAATGATTATCATAAGAAAAAGTTTAAAATGTTGTAGTTTTAATTCAAAAGCAAGCAAAAAAATTTCTGTAGGTGTACAGAACATTTTAGATTTTGAACAGTACAACTGTATTTTGAAATCAGTAAATATACCTATTAGATTCAAAAATCAGGAACAATAACTGAATTTACAAGACTATTCTAAATTACATGGACTTTCCTGATTTCTATGTCTTAAAGCCTTCTTTATTTTTACAACTCTTACCCTTGGTTTGTCTCTTGGAATATTACAGGCATCACTGTAAGGATAATGGCCTTCATGCACATTTATGTCAGATTTCTTTCTATCAGAGTTAAAGAAAAATATCAGATTTAACTTGTTCCTTTCAATAAGCTAAAAGTGTTGTTGTATAGAAAAACAACAACAAATCTTTCAAGGAAGCCTATTACTGGCTCAGCAGTAATCTTGAAGGCTTGTAACACTGAAAATCGGGGTTTGATACATGTAGTGAGCACTGTGGAAATTGTGTAATTTTTTCTTAAAACAAACTTTTAAGATCAATAATTAGTAACTACAAAAATAAAATATTTATTGTTGACAATGTTAACTATAGCGCTGAGCTTCTTTTTTTCCATGTACTTTCGTATATAACAAAACATTAACATATAGAACTTTACAATATCTAAAATATAAACATTATATATTAGTCGGCAATATCCAAATGAACTATGCTTCTCCACCATAGGCATTTTTTACCATAAATATTATTGTTATTTTGTTCAATATTCAGTTAATAAATAAGAGAAAATGTGTTTAAAATTAAATAGGATGTGGGGCTTAAATCAAGCTATTTTTTATTCTATTTTTTTTTAATGTATGACTAAATTTTGTGAAAAAACAACATCTAAAAGGAGTGTTCAATTCTTTGAGAAATAACTTTATCTCCAGCTTTTGCATAATGTGTATGTAAGAGTGGATAAAAATTCCTATTTCTGTGTGTGTTGGATTGTCTTTTTGTAGTTCTGAAATAGGAATTTCTAATATATGGCATGGTTGTGTGAACAAGTTTTACATTAAATACATTAGTGCCTACTGTCTAATTCACTTGCTAAAATGAAGAGCATATCTTCAAACATCTTGGAGAAGCATTATGAAATAACTTTGTTTTTATTAACAGAGTAAGTCTATAAATATACTTGATATTTTGAGTTGAATATATTAAGCCTAAACTTTCAACTCTTGTAGTAGTAGCTGTGAAATCTACATGATTTAGATCAGCAGTTCTCAATCTGTGGTCTGTAGATTCCCTTCAGGTGGTCTGTGGTAAGGTTGAATAATTACAGAAAGGAGGCAGCAGCACATTCTATAGATCCCATTGTGGTCTGCTGAGATAATAAAATTCTGGTAGTTTGTGAACAGTGTATTATAATGTGTTATTCTTGTATTTTTTCTATATTTTGTGTTTAAAGGTTATTATATTTCTATCTAAAAAAATCAGTTGAATTGATGAGTCAGATAATTTATGAAAATACAGATAATGCATAAAAAGTTACTCTGTGAAACTTCTAAACTTCTTTCATTTACATCATTTCTTTTTTTATTTATAGGAAACAGGTACAACTGGATGGGGATCACTTATGGGAATACACAACCCCAAAATCTGTAGAGCAGTGTGATAGTCCAAGTAGTCTTTCAGTTTGTTCATATTCCAGCCACAAGAGTGCTCTAAGTGTCAGTTCAAGAAGAAAAGTTTATGAAAAGGATACTAAAGAACAATCTATTAAAAAGTCCAAGTCAAAAGAGAAAACATCAGAACATAAGAGTGAATCAAAAACTACCTTACCTCTGTCTTCTGAGCAAAAAAGTAAAACAAAAGAGAAACAGAGGTTAAAAGGAAAAGAACCTGACAGTAAAGTTCAAGAAAAATATAGATCAAATAGTACAGAGAGTAAAAAGTTTAGAAGTAGTGCAGTAAAAGGAATTGCTCCAAATTCACCTAGTCAGGTAAGATAAATCTATATGTTCCCATTATTAAATCAATTTTTTATGAATAATTCCTTATGCTTTATTTATATAAAATTCTTTTTGATAATATTTTTATAATAATTCCTTTTCTTTCTTTAGAAAGGCAAAAGTCTTTCTAGTAATTAATTATTCTAGTAATTAAAGAAACCATATACAGTACTGTCAATGTTTGGAAGCATACATATTTTTGAATGTAAAAGTAAAATGAATACTTATAGTTCAGTTATTGGTCATAGTAGCAATGAAACTTAATTATATAATTGATGTACAAGTACAGTTATAATCTAATTATTTCCACTTATCCATTATATCAAAATAATCACCTGTGGCTGTAATGACAGTTTTGGTTTTTCTTTTTTTTTTGCAACATTTATTTAGCTATTAGGGCATCCCAGGCTGCATGAATATATTGCCACAGTTGTGTTACATTACATGATGTCATAGTTTGTCATTTTCATCAAACGAAAGTTCGATAGATGATAAGTCTGATTATTTTCATGGACAAACTATGATTTGAAGAGCACCTTGTTCTCTACCTTCACTGTAGCTTAGATGTATTATTATTGTCCCCTTGGAAAATAAAACTTTAGCCAATAATTCTAATACTAGAGAGTACAGCATGTCTTTCTAGAATACTTTGGTGATTTTCTTTGCTGTTTCACCATGATTTTATAAGTATCCCTATAGCCTTAAACCATGATCTCTCCATCTCTATGTGTAGCTCTACTAAGTTTAAAGATTATTCTCTTTTATACGTGTAAGTTGGCTATTAAGGAACATTTTGATCACTTTGATGATGGTAATGTTTAAGTAAAAATAATTCATTTCTGATTGCAGTTGTATGTGAGATATTAAATAGTGCTGTCTTTATTGTTATTATTACCAGTGCATCTGATTACAAGTATGTTTATTTTCATGGCATCTCCAAAAATGTGTCTGCTTCCAAACTTTTGTTATAGGTCAGTAATTAATTCTGTCGATTTTATATGCATGCAATTTGTGCAGATTCTACTATATATATGAATGAAATTATGTACTGTAACCTGGATTTTGAAGTTGTGGTTTTACAATTAGATTATAACATTTATATGTTGCATCATGGTGTAGGAACTTTTTTTGCAACTCATACCACTTGGTTATTAAACTAAGTTCAAACTGTATTAAGACAAGCTCTTAATTCAACGGGAAATGATGAATTAGTTTTTTTTTCCTATTTTACTTTCTCCAGGGTGTAAGCGTATAATCTTCATGAAAAATATTTGTAATAGATGAATTGATATCTGTTGTCATAAATATTTTATAAAGGCATAGGCATAATTTATTTCAATTTACCAAGTTAAATTTATTTTTGTGTTATTTATGTATCAAGCATACTTGGCTACGAATAGCAGTCCTTGCTTACCACATTTATTAATTTGGTTCATGTATAAGTATAATAGTAACCAAAGCTTAATTTTTAGAAAAGTGTATTCTGATCTTGTTTGTTTTTTTTTTTAAAGTAAAAGGATAATGAGAAAAAATATTTTTCTTACTCCTTACTGAACAATAACAAGTTATGCAGTCTTGTGTAGATGTTTAGATGGTGCTGACACCTGTACATATAAAGTGACAACTTTTAAGAAGAATTATGTATTTTATGCTGCTTGCTGCAAGTTTTGAGAATTGTGTGATCTTTATTTGAGTAAGATGTTTACTTGTGTATAGAGTAAATTTACCACAATTGATTTCAATTACATCTCAAATATGCAAAATGATAAAAATTCTATAACCAGAGTGCTTGCGAAAGGTCCACCTTTCAAAAGTATTCGGGTTATAGAATTTTTTTCATTTGTTTATTCCAAGTAAAGAAGCTTTATTTTTTATTTTTTTCTCATATAATGAGTAATATTAACAAGTCTGTTTGTTTTAACAGAAAACCAAGTGCATTTGGGAGGAGGAAGTTCCCCACTTCAGGTCAGATGACCAGGAGAAGAATGAAAAGAGTAACAGTAGAGCCAGCACTGTTCATGCATTAGAGTATGGTCACAGAGAAAGGGAACGGCCATTATTTGAACACAAACTCTACTTAGATCATGATTCAAAGTAAGATATATTTTTATTATTAATACTGCTATGCTTGATGGAAAGTCATAATAAACTGTTAATGTTTCTAGAACAGGTTTTTAGCATTTGTATAGTAGATTTTGGGGCTGAAATTGTATAAGAATGCTTTATTACATTTAAAATTCTGAAATGTAAACTTTATATGTATATATTGTTTAGTATTTTATGTGTGGTAATATGAATAGTTTTGTTTTCAAACATTAACTGTATATGTATATTTATTTATTTATAGTACCTTAAACAGCTTTTGTGTTGATCAATTTAGAAGAATAAATCTGTATCATCAGTGCTGCCTATTTTTGAAATCTTATATAAATATAAGTTTACTATAGTGAGTAAAAGATAACTAAAACATCATACATATAATATACACTCCACTACTACAAGAAGCCTAGTCTTATTCTTTCGATTTACCCTTGTCCAGGGTTACTGATGATAAGTGGATTTTTCCTAGACTGTTGTAACTCAGTGATAATTGGTTGATTGAATGATAGATACTAAAGCTTTACCTAAAGTAATTTGAATATGTATTTTGATCTGTGTGATTACTTTTTTACCCTTCATTTTGTGATTAATAATTGCTTT